AAAAAAAAAAAAGAAAAGAAAAGATAAGAAAAGAAAAATGAGGGAAGAATACGGGGTCAACAAACCCCCATGGACCTCCCCCCACCCCTCCCCCCCAGGTAGTGGAACATCTAGACAGACATGCCAGAATCTCAAAGAACTTTCGAAGGCTGGGTACGACTCACACACTCTACTTGTTATTTTTTCATTAAATTAAATTAAAACTAATTAACGAAAAAACAAGCATCTAATTTAATACAAATCCTACGGAACTTCTTCATTCTACAAATCAAGTCATTTTCAGTTTCCTTACTGAATAATATCAGTATTGAGTAATTTTGTACGTTTGGGTAATAAGTATTTGTATTTTCGTATTCACCACTAAACTAATTTATTTAATTAATGCAATGGTATTCATTATTCATGCAGTAGAAATAAGCATATGCAACGTGTCAGTTCAATAACAATAATAGCCCAAAAAAGTAAAGAGTAAAAGACCTGAAAAAATTTGTTTTAGTTGTTTCTGAAAGCGGACACTACGAACAACGAAGACTCAATACTAGCTTGATATAGTTATAAAATCTTAAAAATTCATTTCGTGGATCGATATCTTAAATTTCTCTAAAAACAAACCTCTAAAATTGTATCCTCATATTGTGAATCTAAATTTAGCTTACTTTAAAAATACCAAGGAGATTTTGTAGCGCGATAAGAAAGAAAAAAGATTCATTCACGACAAAGTTGATAAAAATTTAACGCAGAATTAGATTTGACCTTGAAAAAAACTCGATACTAATAAGCATCAATTAAAACCGCTTCGACCACTTCTTAAGGAACGGCTTTAAAATTAAAACAACTCGTTCAGACAATCAAAAAATGTCATTGGACTAGTGTAAGACAGTAGAGTTTGTCGACGACGACGGTTAATATCTTGAAGGATAACATCTTACGCATGGGGGCTAAAAGAAAATTCAAGGTGAAGCAAAGGTTGGTACGAGTTAGTAAAGAAAAATAAATCCTTACGGACTTCGCCTTAATAAGGTAGTATATAACTATAGAAATGTCACTACCGGTAATTTGTGGACGTCATACGCATGCGCGATAAGTCGTTTATTTTGAAAGATGGACTAGAGCTATATATATCTTTCTTCTTTCCGTTTGAAGTAGTATTTTTTTTGTGCGAAAAATAGCCAAATTTGAAACCAGAATCGATTAGGCTTCGTGATAGACTATTTATAAATCAGTATTTAGATAAATATGACGAGGAAAATGTATTTATTTTATTTCTATTTAAATCAATATTTATTTATAGAGGTAGCACTAGCACTACTTTGTTACTATATATAGGACAATGGCTAGATCTAGATGGGGATTTCCAGGCTTCGCTTGATTTTCTAACCAAGCTTAACCACCACCATTTATAACACTTACTTAACTGTTGCAACACTCATCATCTGTGGTTAGTTCATAAAGAGTACCCCGCTTGATTAGCACGTAAACCTGACGACTTATTTCAATTCTTTTTAGTCAAAATAGATTCGATATTAAATCCGATACAGCTTTAATTTTAGGTCGTACAGTAAACAAACTCTTGAATTGCCATCTCAAATAAAAATATTTCATCTTCCTATTTATGTATATAGCATTCAGCCCGACTGTAATTTCAGATAAATAGTATATAATAAATAGATATATTTGCTATTTACAAGTTCAATTTCAAAAGACAATGTTCAAATTCTATTRTAATCAATCAATTGAATTGTTTGAAGACCTTGTTTCGCTTCTGAGAGGCGAATAGTATTATATTAAATAAGACTATTCCGCTTTCTTTGCTAAGTTTATTTTGAACGTTTCTTCAATAGAAAAAGACTGTCGTTTATGCGAACGCTGGGTATTGGGTCTGTTATGATAAACTTCATCAATTGTGCAAAATATACCACGGAGTTCCAATTTGCAGTTTTGTACCCACACAACAGGAGATGGATAATAATAATAATCCTTTCTAATAAACGTAGCCCAACACTATAAGCACTTATATTTGGGAACTTTAGCACTCTCTTTGAAGCTTAGTCAGATATTATGGAGAGTTTAAGAAGAATTGGAACCGCGTTCTCAGCTCTTTGTCGTCGTTTCAGGGATGGAAAAGAAGGGAAGATAGATCAAGAGATACTGGAGCTGATAGCAGAACGGGCAGCAAGAAAAAAAGCAGCTTTAAAAGAAAGAGAAAAATCGATTCAAAGAGCTCAAAATCGACGCTGTCTGACAACGATCAATGTTAGTGGACAAAGATTTGTCGTGGATAAGGATATCTTCTCTCGTTTTCCAGGTAAATACTCTGTCTTAGAACTTAAATTATATTGAATTATTTTGTAGCTCGATGATATTTAAAAAAAGATGATTTTTTATACCTTTGAGCATATACGATAGCGTTAGGGCAATTAGTAACGAAAGCATCAAACATGTCAATGACATTACTATTCTTGGGTGAATCGAACAGATGGCACTGAATTGTTTGTTCCTTGTTCTTCTATATTTTCTCTGTTAACAAAARCACCATGGGTTGTGCAAAGATCAGTTAAAAACTTAAACAAGCTTGACTCAGATAGTCACCTTTGTATTTAGATCACACTGAGATCTTCAAATCCTTAGTTTCCAAATAATTCACAATATTGATGTTATTATTCCAACGTGCGCATTTATGACCAAGAAAAAAATAAGTAAAAATTGAAAGATTAAATGTATTTTTTCCGGCGATTCTTTCAAATCGTAGCCTTCAGAAAATATATTTTTTGAAATAGGCTAAATAGTTAAAAGTCTTTGACTCAGTAGAAGTTATCGAAGTCCACTATTATCGTTCGATTTTTATTTTTTTATTATTTTTGCACATACAAAATGTCTTAGATAAATGATAGGTAAATGTTATCAAATACATTCATATTCCGTTATATTCAGTTGATTGTTATTCAGATATCGATGAATTTTAAGGTCTACTTTTTAGAAATGCGGGTTTCTGTGTATCATCTGTGCATGTTTTCTCTAAAGGTAATAAATTATTTTTTTCCTACTGAAGAGTTAATAGAAAATTATGGAGYTTACCTCCTCTGTTAAGGCTGAAAGGTGACAAAGATATGCAATTAAATCTAAAGTCTGATGTTGGCTTGATGAAAATGGAAGTTATAAGGAAATGAAAGAAAAGAAAAGAGAGAGAGAGAAAGAGAGAGAGAGAAAAAGGAAAAAAAAAAAAAAAAGGAAAAGGAGAGAACAAATATATAATACAAAGCAATGAAAATATCCTATTTTGGATGGGTATAACTAAGGAATATTCAGTTCGCGATGCCATTTGACAAAGTATTCGGAGAGATAATTTGAATTATGCAAAATGTATTTTTCTTYATGGAGCATATATAAATATGTACTGAATAACAATTTGAAAAAAATAACCCCGCAAAACACAAGGAATAGATTATGAGATCAAAAACTACAATAACGTGTTTTCATAAGGGCTGAAGAAATATCTAAAATACTTTTAAGTATTTTAGATTGAAATATGGCGCCTCAAAAAATATGTAGATTTCACAAAAACTATCTTTGATAGAGCTGACAAGATAATAACATAGAAGACTTGGACCTTTATCTCAACTGAAAGAGCATTAAGTGTATTTATATTGTACTCGTCATTGAAGGTGCAGTGGTTTAGGTTAAAAAAGATTGAACTTAATAATAGATGAACTCTAATAAAAAAACGCGAAGTCGTGGTATAGGATTATAATATATGCAGTATGCTCAATGTACTTTAGGTCGTTTAGAGTGTGAGTACTCCAGCTTTTCCCTCCAGACTCTACCTTCTCCCCGCTCTCAATCTCGTACCCAGAGCCTGCGTTTCTTCTGGCTTGCGGCGAAGAACGAGGCTCTGGCATAATCCGTATTTTGGCGCATGCGCAATTTTCGGAAAGTGAGATATAAACGTTCAAAATAAGCAAAGTAAAAATTAAATCGAAGTCAAACTACAAAGTACAAATCATAGTACGAATTAAAAATCTGGGGGAAAATATTTTAATTTTTTAGCAAGTCTTTGAGTGCGTGCGCTATTATACCGGAAGTCCAAGAAATCCTGGTCTCAAAAAATGGATTATGCCAGAGCCCTAGTTCTTCGCCGCAGGCCAGAAGAAACGCAGGCTCTGGGTACGAGATTGGCCCTCTCTAATCTTCGCGCGCATCCACAGGAATCCCAACCAAAACATTCTTCTGAGACTGAGTCTGAAGTGAAAAGTGGGCCGCTCGCAGTCTATAGGCCGTTACATGATGATGAAAGACTGGGCTTTAATATGACGTAAGAAATCAGGCAATCAGGAATGGAAGTGAGCTCGGCTTGTTAAATAATGATATTGATAAAAAATGCGCGCACCTCAGTCTTGTGAATGAAACCGGTACCAATTGTTATAGCGTTCATCTAACTATCCTCATATGGGATTTCTCTGGTACGAGAAAAAGCATGTAATTCCTCAGGGAGCCCACCAAGAAGACCAGATAAAATCTCATTACCCGCCTATGATAACCATATTTTATTTTTTTAGATACTCTTCTTGGAAGCAATTTCAAGGAAAGCTTCTTCGATTCACAAAGGAAGGAATACTTCTTTGACCGAGACCCTGAAGTGTTCAAATACATCATAATATTTTACAAAACTGGAAAACTTCATTTCCCAGAAGAGGAATGCGCCTGCTGCTTCGACACCGAATGTCGCTACTTCGGTATTCAAACGGACATTATGTCTGACTGCTGTCACGAGCCTTTTGGAGAACAAACGGAGGATTTCAAAGAGTATTTACGAAGGAACAGGCCCCTGGAAATCCCAAAGGTCTCTGACAACCAAGCGTGCCTTCAGATACTACGAAGAAAAATGTGGAAAATCTTTGAAGATCCGGGCGGCAACATATTTGGTTTACTTCTACATTACATATCAGCCGTCTTCATCGTTGTCAGCGTTATTAGTTCTGTCGTAGAGACTATTCCATGTGGGATTCAAAAATGCGGCAAAAAGTACGCCAAAGAGTTCTTTCTAACCGAAGCGGTCTGTGTAACTCTCTTCACCTCAGAATACGTCTCAAGACTTTTTGCCGCCCCAAAAAGATGGGAATTCGTTAAGAAATTTCTAAGTATTATAGATTTGATAGCCATCCTTCCTTTTTACGTTGGCCTCATCTCGCCTAAAGCATCAGAGGGACCCTTCACTGTACTTCGAGTATTCAGGATCTTTCGGATCGTAAAAATGTCTCGCCACAGTACGAAGGTGCAGCAAGCGGGCAGCTCTTTGAGAGAAAGTTTCTCTGAACTCAGTTTTGTTTTTGTGGTGCTTGCTGTGATGATAATCATATTTTCGTCTGTGATATATTACGCCGAGAGCGCCTACCCTGATACGAACTTCACTAGTATCCCTGCAACTTTTTGGTATACCATTGTTACAATGACGACGCTAGGGTAAGTTGATCGAATTAACTATTCACAGGCCATTAAATTTCAACCAATTCCTATATTTCATCATTTAGCAAGACTCCTTCATGTCGCTTGGGCTCTTAATAATATATGTATATTTTTTCCAGTTCTAAACAACCCTAGCATGCTAGACTCATTTACTCAGGCATCGCATATTTGTAATTCATTCTGACATGTTAACCTCTGAATAAAGTATTTTGAATGATTCATACAAGTAATCAACTCTTCGTCAATTTAACCTTTTTAAGATCATCTGTGGTTGAGAATGGACCCCTTAGAGCGATTCCTAATCTGGCTTAAGTTCGAGCGGAGAAAATAAAATTTTAGATTTAATTCTTGAGATTAAAATTGAGTTGCACTTGAACCACTGCGAGGGGTCTATATTCTTATTATTCAGTACATCTGATTGTATTCATTAATAATAATCGGATTTGAGATTACATAAACCACAGATTGACGCAATTTGAGTTAAATAAGGGCTTACCTCTGGTAATCTTGAAGTATATTTTAAGAGTCAGCCGTCTTGTACTGAGTTGTACTGAGCCAAGCCTCTGCTACAAGGCAGAGACATCCTTTGAGAGACAGATATCACTCGGGATTTTAATATCATTGTTCTTTTTCAATGGCTATTGTAATGTAAAGTGTTTATTATCCACCATATTTTTCTACATTCCAATTCCTCCATGAAATGTAGACAATAAGTTTATTAATTTGCAAAGAATTATCTTTATCTAGAATTTTTTGGCTCTTCAAAAATCAGTCGCTCAACTCTACTTATCAGACAAGATAATTCAAAGATCTGTCAGAATGGTTTTCGTATCAGAAGAAATAACTAATTGATAGTTTAAAAACGAATGAAAAATCAAACTTGACTAAGCACCAAAGGCGCGCCAAGGCGTGTTAACAATGACATCAAGTCAAGGTCAAATCATAACACAACCATGATTTGATGCCAATAAGCCTTTTCATAGTTTAAGAATCGATTCCACTGCGCATGCGATTTAATCCCGAATTTCTCACCTTTTGTCTAAACCTTCTTTTGTTCTTAATAAAACAAAAGGTGAGAAATTCGGGATAAAATCGCATGCGCAGTGGAATCGATTCTTAAACTATGAAAAGGCTTATAAGTTGGAAGCTAGCTTTGCAAATTACCAGAAACAAATTCCATGAAAGGTGATCAAATCTAGCTCGTCTAAAGTTTCTATTGTTTCATTTCAGGTATGGTGATCTAGTGCCAGAGAGCATAGTGGGACGGCTGACTGGTGCGCTTTGCTCGTTAAGTGGAATCTTAGTGGTCGCTTTACCAGCACCTGTGCTAGAAAAGAACATGAAGAAAGCGAGGAAAGGTGAAGAGGACGATAGACTTCCATTAACGTTCAGAGAAAACCAGGAGACAGAAGGAGGCAATTCTGAAGTAGCCGAAGAACAATGTGAAGTGATGAAGTCTGATAATAGTAAATAATGTTTGGAAAAAAACCAAACAAACAAACTATTTATACATGAAGCCCAGAGAAAAATTTATTGATTGAATGAAACAGACTAAAAATGGAAAGCCATTTTAATGTTACTGCAGTGTCATGTACGTGCCATACTGAATGGTTTCTTTTTTCTTCAACCATTCAAATCCTAGAGAAACGTTGAGCATGTTCAATGTTGGCACATTAGACAAGCGCAGAGTCCTTGTCACAAAACTGAAATGCGCAGAGAGCCCTGGTCACAAAATAAACATGCGTAAAGAGCCTTTTTCACAAAACAGACATGCTTCAAGAGCCCCGGTCCCAAAACGGACATGCGCAAAGAGCCTTGGTAACAAAACATACATGTGCAAACAGCCTTGGTAACAAAACATACATGTGCAAATAGCCCTGGTAACAAAACATACATGTGCAAATAGCCCTGGTCACAAAACAGACATGCACAAAGAGCCCTGATCACAAAACAGACATGCGCAAAAAGTCCTGGTTAAAAAACAGACATGCGCAGAGTCCTTGTCAGAAAATATGCGCAGATGCGCTAAGAGTCTTCGTCAAAGGATAGAATGCGCAAAGAGTTCTTGTCACGAAATTGACATGCGCAAAGAGTCCTTGTCACAAAACAGACATGCGCAAGGTTTCCTTGTCGGAAACTAGACATGCGCATAGAGTCCCTGTCAGAAAATAAACATGCGCAGATGCGCTAAGAGTCTTCGTCAAAGAAAAGAATGCGCAAAGAGCTCTTGTCACAAAACAGACATGCGCAAAGAGTCCTTGTCAGATTGCTCAGCCATCCTCATTTCCTATGTTAGAGAGCCTCTTAGAGCCTATGCTAGCCCTGTTGGTCGTCTGTTCCGTTTTGGAAACAAGGGGCTTTGGGAATCTAACTGCCACTCTTTTTTTATTGGTTAATGCATCATTGAAAAGTCATCAAAACTGGAACGAGAGACAGTGATTTTTCGATTATCCTGAAGCGATGCGTATTCTTGAACTGTAGGTTTTGGAAGGATCAGGTTTCCTTGCAATAACGTTAGCAATGCGAAAAAACTCTATTCTAAGAGCTGGAGATTGTGATAAGGATACCGCTAAACCGCCCATTTATCAATTTGAAATTCATAAGTACCCAGTGTGCACAAACAATGCAATCTCCAATGGGCGTGCCTGCAAGATACAACACAGCGATAAATCATGAATTTGACATTCATGCTGTTTACAAAAAAGATGGACTGAAGAACATCTGATAAAAAAGATGTTTATTTGTACTGTTCATCTAGTTTCCATGTTCTTGTAATAAATATTAATGCCCCCAGAACAATGAGGCAAAAAAGACGAGAAAATTGAGCAAAAATGATCGACCAAAATAAGTAAAAGCTATATCGTAGTTACAAACACTTTTGTATATACAATGGAATATTTTGAATAGTAAAAATGGAAATAAAACCGCTAATGTTTTGCATGAATAATGACAAATAAAAGTGTTTATTTAAAACCAAAATGAATGTATCAAACCGTTGCTGATTTAACTCCAAAATATAACACCAAATTACCACACTTCATTCGAAAACAGAGAAAAAAAACCCAAAAATATCTTAACACGCCGAATATATTTACAAAGTGCCATTGATAAGCATCATATCGGGTATGAAAAATACAGGCGAAAAAATTGAGAAATCGAATATTTTTTTTACATATCTGCAGACAAGTATCAGGTAGGGTTTCAAAGAGTTAGTCATTCAACTGACAAAGTAATGCAGTTCCTTTCTCGATCCAGTAAGACTGGGGGGAGTCGGTGGGTAAATACACAGCAACGACGAAGTTAGTCGAGTGACCTACAGGAAAACAAACCAAAAAAATATTATTTAATATTTATTATCTAATATTTAAAAAATCATATTTTATCTATAACCTGAAACAAGCTCTCGGCTGATTAAAGTCAGGGCACGACTAACTCACAGATCAACCTGAAACAACCTCTCGGCTGATCAAAGTCAATGTACTGCTACTCAAAGATAGAATTGGAATTAACATGTTAGATTTTGAGGTGGAAGGAAAACCCAAGAACCTGGAGAAAAACCCTCGAATCAAGGGAGAGACCTAACAAACTCTTCTCACATGTGATGCTAAGTCCAAAAATCGAACGCTAGACCCAAGAAGTGAGAGGAGAGTGCAGTATCGCAACACCACTTTTGATTAATCAAAAGCAATCAGAAATGTTTTGCGCACATTTAGTATGGATACATGTAAAAGGACCTTCAAGTAAAGAACATGCAACTTTACCTGTAGTTGATAGTACACCAGCTCTCTCGGACGTTTTGTACAGAGGGCATTTGTACAAGGCGGGGTCTGGTACCACGTTCATTTGAGGCTCCATATGTAACATAGGTAATGGCTGTCATATAACAAAGACAATGATAATTAGAATAGTTGGCTCCAATAAATCCTGTTTGTTTTGTGTGCTTTTTTGTTGGTTGAAAGTGTCAATCTGTCCCAATAGATGGTCACATCTCAGACAATTCATAAGATAGAAACTTCCTTGAAGTCACATGCAAATTTTCAAAACACAAGGAGTCTCCCCTCCGTCCTTTCCCTCGCGCACCACCTCCCTCTCAGCTCATCCTTCGCCTAGAAGGCCCGAGTTTACGAAAAAAAGCATTACTTACCGGATTCATGACTCCATATTCAGCATCTCCTAGTAACATTCTGTCGTCATCCCATCGTGCGCAATCAAAGTACAGTCCATGTACAAGCACACCGTCCTCTGGCACCTCCATCTCATCGTCCATTTGTAGGGTCTGTCCGTACTCAAGCTTCGCCGTCGCCTCAGCTACCTCTTCTTGGTATCGATACTGCGGTAGCACGTTGTAGTTAAATGAAAGTTGATCTATTGGTAGGTTGTATTTACGGGCGTGGTTTTGTAGCGCTCCTGTTAGGAAACCTGAAATTGCCATTAAAAAATAGTTAAATATCCTGTCTGATATCATTCTTCATGTATGAGTTGCAGCAGATCTAAAATGCGCGCAGGAATCTTGTGATCGCCCCTCTTCTAAGTAGGGCGCCAGCTTAGATAACACCTGACACATAAAGTGTTCGAGTCATTGCCTTGAAGACGTTTCTTCCATTCCAAGTCTATCTAGTTCTCTGTCCTTACATTCTAAATGGATTATCCGCAATCTTTTGCACTGTGATTAGTGTTTTAGAGCTATCTTGAGGTTGTCCAGTTGCTTTTGACAATGAAACTAAATATACCATTTCGGCGGTAACACTACTAATCAGAAAAAGGGAAATAAGAATCTGACTAGGAGCTCGGTGTTGTATGTGAGTTGAGTTTGTTTGTTGGTTCTCTCCTGTGCTTCGAGGGTTTTCCGGGTTCTCCGGTTTTCCTCCCTCCGCCAAAACCAACTTCTAAATTCCAATTCGATCTTGGGCTTTCACCTAGCATGGATCTGTGGGTTCCRTTCGTGATTGTCCCACTCTGTGATTACAGAGAAAACTGATAGATTTTAGATTTTAGAATTCGTTACCTTGAGGGAAGAAAAAACCAGATATCCAGAAGGATTTAGGCGGACCATGGATGATCCATTGCTGTTGGAAAACAAAGAGAACTACATCACTACATCAGTGGCAAGCAAACTATAGTCAATAAACAGGGTTAATTCTATTGATTGAGCCAACACGACTGCCGTGCGCTAGAGGTCCATTACGTGGACGATGACTACTTACATCAATGAAGGAACATCTGAGTACCAGGTCCTTGACCCATGAACCTAGAGACTTTAGAGACGGGTAAGCCGCATTTGACCACATAGTGGGAACCTAAGAAGAGAAAGAAAACATGGTATTACGAATACATACACAAATATGAAGCATTGAAAATACTTGATTGTATTTTATACGACCATGCGCTGTGTATATTGGATAATGAGCGTTGACTGGTTGTTTAACTTCAGGGCCAATTTTATCGTAAGGGCCCCGTCCCGCGTGACACGAAAAGAAGTTTTGTAAATTTGCCGCCTAGTCAAAATTGAACTTCGTTTATTCGTATCGGGAACTAATAAGTCAGTATCGAGTTCCGTTTAAGAAAAATGGCAAGACGAGAGTAACTGAATACATTCTTGGTGGCTTATCTTTTATACCTGCTCTCGACTATCTGTCTTTAGAGGTGTAATCACATTCATGMGACTTATGTCACTACTTATTGCATTTTGGTAACGTTATATGCAACGTGATACTTTGTCAGCAAAAGCACTAGAACACGCTATTATCTGCATATATAATGACTTTGATAAAGGATCCTTACCATATTGTTAAGGAAACTGGTGTATACCATGTCCAGTTCTAGGGACATGACAACTAAACCCTTTATAGCCTTCTGTAGTTGATTGAGAGAGGTTTTGATGACTTTGAGCAAGGTGTTGAATCGATCAACTTCCTGACCAAGGACTGTTGTCAAAGAGTTGTATCTACCTTTGTCATCGGTCTTCAATAAAAAAAACAAAAACAGAATAGATGAGTAAATACTCCCCACGGAAAATGAGAAAAGATTAATCCCTGCATGAGGACGATGCCGTCATTTTTATAGGTTGGTATTCACATTGGTGAATGAATTGTAGGTTTTTCACGTGCCGAAGGTAGTCACTCGTGAAGGCGATGGCGCGCATGCTCGAACTTTTTCGTCCTTGCAATCATCATCATCATCGTCGCATCGGCATCATCATCATCCCAGCCACCACCAAAACCATCAAAACTATCATCATCGATATTATCATCATCATCAGCATCATCGCCACTATCATTAGCATCAGCATCACCATTAACACCACCATCATCATCATCACCACCACCACCATCATCAACATAATCATCATGTTACCTTAAAGAGAGATTTGTCCGCCTTTTCCATGTCCAGTACATCAGGTAACTTTGACAAAATRCTGTCAGCAAGTTCGTATACAATCTCGTCGTTAGTCTTCCCTCCGCCACTACTGGCCAAGCGKGGCTGAACCTCCAATACAGTAAATACCAACTGATGGGTCTCTTGGGTCTAGAGAGAAAAAAGACAAAAACGATAAATTAAGATCTCGATCACTCCCCATCATGTTTGATTTTTTTGGGGAGGGGAGGGGGTGGATATTAATTAACGGGTTGCTTCAAAGTTGTCCCATTTGCATCATTTGGTATATAACGTTACACTTCAAATATTTTAATATCGAGAATGTTGCTTGGAAGAATCTTCTCCACAGAACATATCCCATGATACTCCTTGAAATATCTTTATTGGGTTTTCCTTCCGACTCCAAGTGGTTTTCTATCAATATTTAAACTTGGAATTGGTTGTATAAGAAAGACTTCTAAATAAAAATAATTTTCCCACTAAGTAGAAATTTTGTGCGCGTAAATGAAGTTATTTTATGAAATGGTCAAGTAAATAAAAAGTTAAGAAATCTTATGCAAGCAAACCTCACCTGGAAGGCGATGTTAGCATTCTCGTACATGTCAAACACTTCGGGTTCATCACTGATTGGAAGATTCTCTATATATTCCCTGTACTCCTTCACTGTATCATAGCCTGGCGGGAAATAGATGCCTGAAACAACAACAACAAATATCATCAACACCATTAGTATTAATTACTATCAAWCACGTGACTTTGAAATTGACTAGGGGCAATGGTTCCTTCTCAAAAGTATCGTGGATGCAAGGTTAACATGAAAATTTTTAAAAAAATGTTTCTCCATGTTTGCAAGCGTGTTTCTTGCCCTGATCCTAGCGGTTAGCGGTAAAATTGATGTTTAAGGTTTCTATTACCGGAAGAAACGTCTATTGATATTAAAGAATTATTATTCTTTTTGCACAAGAAAAGGACAGTTGTTTGAAGAGCTGTTTGCTTTGAGCTACATGTACATGTCAACGTACCGGAGTGTGAAAACTTGTAGCCATCTTCTAGAATGCGGGGAGAGAAGAATCGTCCAAGAATGGTTGAAAGACAACGTTGATCCCATGCGTCTGTGACGCGACCACCATATGTGATCTAAAACAAGAAAGTCATCAGCATCACAATCACTACCATTATAATTATCATCGCCATTATCGTGCATTTAATATCAAGACCACCTCCCTGCATTACCATAATCATCACCATCGATATAATCACCATCGTCATCAGTAACATCATCAACACCGCCTCCACTGCCATAATCATCATCACCATTATCATGCATTCATTACCAACAATACCTCCCTCCATCACCATAATCATCACCATTATCATCAGCATAACCACCAACATCAACATAATCATCACCATCATCATTAGTATCATTATCAACACCACCACTACAACCATCATCATCACCAATACCACACGCTCGTCATCATCAACAATACAATCACCATTATCAACCCTGTCCCCCCAGCACTATATCCCTATAATCATTAAAAAGACTTGTTGTAAGGATACCATTTTATATTATAACAAGACTTTCTGGCTTGACGTACCTCTCCAGTAATAAAAGTCAGTGCATCCCAAGGTATTTGATCGTCGACAAGGAACATCTTAAGGTTCTCTAGAGCACACATTCTATCGGGGTCGTTAAACTCGTACTTGATGTTCCAACCCAGGGGGCCAAACTTCTTCCTCTCTTGGATGATGGCGTGGAAGAAACAGACGCCGAACACGAGTTTTCGCCAATTAACACCAAGAACTGAAGAGAAAAATTATAGTTACTGGAAACACAAAACAACAACAACATTTAAAAGAAAGCCCCCCTCCCCTCCCCCACCACCACCACGTAACACCTAAATAATTTAAACGATAATAGAAATACCGCAACATCCATCRAGGCAGATTTGTCTAAAGTTGCGCTTATGGAAACCCTGACATCATGATATCTTAGGATGCTTTCCATTAAGTCGAGCCGATCGGTCCAAGTTCTCATGTGGTATGCGCCAGTTCTTACTCTTGAACCAACGCGTACCATTTGAGACTTTGTCGCTCGCACCAATTGGTTTGACTTAATGGAAAGCGCCCTTAGTATCACAGCCATCTCAAGTTCTGCCCTTCACAACAGAACGTTGACTTACGGTGATTTTCAAACGTATCAGACGTTATTTCTCCAAAAGCCCTCTTCATGTTCGCTCTCAGACCTTTGGGAGGTTCATTAGTAACCTTGACGCTGTTTTGGAGGACTGTTACTGGGAATGACTTGGTTGGCATGGAGCTCAGGAATAACCGGAAGTCATCGTGTACATCCGCATCCGGTGACGTAATTTCTTTAACGGTTGTCTCCATGGCCAACATCCAAGATGCTGCAAGATGACAATTCTGCAAACAATAAAGAACGATTTATCTCAAGTTGAGAACCAATACATTGAGGCTGAAACTTCAGATGAAATCACAAGCTAGCAAAACTAGTAAGGTTATGAAAATGCAACAAGTTCAGCATTTCAAGTTCCAATCGTTACCTTATCATAAATGCAATTTGGTTTACTTTTTTTGCAAGGTTTTGTAGCAAGCAGGGCAGAATGAATGCTATGCTAACCAATAATTGTTCCGTTTAGGGGTTTCTATCTGAGTTTAGAAATTTGGAACCATAAAAAGAACATTGGATCTAAGATGAGTATCTAATCGATTCCTCGTGGACCTCCGGTCAACATACCAGAGTATCATCCCTCAATGGTAGCACTCTATTGTTGAAATTCTGATAGGCTTTACCTGTAAAAAGACCCAATCTCCATTCTTAGTGGCACTAGCTATCATCTTCTCGGCTACTGGTCCTTGACCTTGACCAAGTGAAATGGCTTGGATCCTGTCGGGTTATCGATAATATTATCAACACTTACAATACATCAATACGACGCCTGATCCATGAACTATCTATTAAACTATCGCTTAAATTGCCCGTCTAGCTACAACACTTGTTGTTATGAAAGTAAATGTTGTATGCAGGTCTGTTACGACACCTAGCACGGTGACGGTACGAAGTGATGCGCCCATTGAACCAATCAAAGTGCATAATATCATTTTACACAGCATACCGTCATGGTCACGGTCATGACACCTAGCACGGTCACGGTATGCATTGATGCGTCCATTGAACCAATCACAACGCGTCGTATGACTGGTTATCCAATGAAAAAAAAAAAAAATCACAAAAACACACCGTCACAGGCACGATACGGTCACTGTCATGACACGGGCACGGTCTTACCACCATGAATTCAACCTTTGTTTATAATTTTAGTTATGCATAACGTCATAGGCAGTATACGAAATCCCCATAACATCGGCATTCTCCGCAAGTAATAACATCGCACAGGTTTAAACCCCATACATACCTATCGGTGTAGCTCATATCCTTAGCGAACCTCAAGAAAGCATTCATTGGATCAGAGCCTGTTGACAGGATGAAGATCAGAGGGATGGAAGGAGAGATGTTTTCGAAAAGAACTGGTAAGTCAATGGATGGACTCTCCACAAACGTCTTGCCGAGGTTTTCAGAAACCCAATCTACAGCTGCAAATATCACCTAAAATACAGGAAAYGTAACATGAAATGTTGGAAGGATTGAAGCAAACTTTTGCGCAAGTTTTTGTACGAGGGCAAAATTCGTTTAAGTGTTGGAAAGACTGCGTCAAGCTTATCTGAAGACCCTCAGRATTAAATGATCATGATCGCACTGTTTCTACTCAATATTCAAAGCGCATTTTAACATRAGTTACTCTCACCTTTTCTTCTTTAAACGCTTTGATAAAAATCAATCTTTCAAAGCTCGTTAGTCTCTCCTGCCAGCTCTTTTCTTTTCCTTCTTCTTCTCCCTCTTCATCACTGGAATCACTGTCTTCTTCTTCTTCGTCACTTCTTATAGCAGCATTGGGACAAACCTAGTAGAGTTTGACATAATTTTGAAATCACGTTTAAGTTTGAATTGTAGATGTATYGACACCATAAAAATCATTTAATCGACATGCTTCATCCTTAAATCGGGGTCAGGAGTCGATACCAGTGTTTTCACACAATGTGATCGACTTCTCTCTAATATTTGTAGACTTCAGATCAGTCGAACGTCGAACTTCACATGACCCAAACCTAATKGAAACAATGGATAACAAGGCGATCGATCTTCTTTGATGTCATTAGGTTCGGCTCACGTGAAGTTCGACGTTCGACATGAGCCTTAGATTTGGCTATCATTATCGGAGCACTGATAGCGAGGGGGGTACTGAAGGGTKCACGATCGACCTCCTCGAATGAAGATATCGTTGTGGATTATCAGCTTTTAGCACAGTATCATAATGCATACCGTAATGTTTCCCATGGAGATTGCAATGGGCWTTTTCAAGAAATCCTCCTTTAGACCTTTGAATGAATGTATCATATCCTAGGAAATAACAAGAATGTTGCTCAACAACAAACGAAAATTATTTTTACTAATTACACAACAACAATCGAATAGTG